GACTGGCTTCAATTTAGCTTGAATTAAGAACATAAATATATCACTAGAACAAGTGCAATTTTCTTCCCCGATGGCAAATAAAAAATTAAAGAGGCACTGTGTAACTTTTCTGGTGGAACATCTGCCATCTGTTTGTCTCCATGGAGATGTTTTCTGGAATGTCTGTCAACACCTCGTCTGTCTTGTATTTATTTAATTCCAGGTGTAAAAAAATACCTTGAAGAACATGTTTTACAGTGGACTCGACTCTCCAAAGCTTTACCAGACATGATTTTGTTTTCTGTTTTTTTAGTTTAATGCCATACCTTGGAACATTTAAGGTAATACAATAACATATTCAAGGAGAAAAGAAGGAAAAGTTACATAGCGCACTTTTAACATGAATTAACATGAACAAGCCAAACAATCTAGGTTAAAAAAAAAAAAAAAAACTAAATAATTTTAAAGGGCTCATATTACACAAATTTCTGTGATAATGTTGTTTCCTCACCACAAACAAACCTGGAGTTGTGTTTTGTTTCATTCACACATGTTTAACACATAAACCCTACATATTTAGGCTGACTTCTTCCTTCAAACAGAAAACACTCTGTTCCACCTTGTGATGTCATGTGGTAATACAGGAAGTGCTCCACTGTGTTTTTAAATTCCATACACTTAAGCTAGAACCATTTAGATTATTTCAGTCCTGGAATTGCCAATTTTGCTACAACTAAATGTGAAAGGAATTTAACTTGAAAACTACCACTTCATGACATCACAAGGTGGAACAGAGCATTTGAGCTTTGAAGATGTAGACCAGGGGACTCCGGCCCTCCATGCCCCTTTGACCGGCCCCCCAGCCCCTCTACCCCCCACCGCTTGAACTGGCCCCATGAGGCAATCATCGAAAGTTGTCGTAGCCTATTTTTAAAATTGATTTTTGGCAAATAATAACACACCTGTGTCTTGTATTTTGTTGATTTTTTTCAATTTAAAAAAATATATTTTTACATGAAGTATTTGTATTAAATAATTATATGATGTATTTACTTTTGCCACCTAATTTTCGTCACCTGACAAGCTCGAGATCAAACAGTGACAGTCAGTGCACGCACAGAGTTCTGTAGTGCAGTTAAGGACAGCAGAACGGCCAGTGTTAAAGTACAAAACGTTGACAGAGAGTGCAGAGTTTTCAAAGAACAGTGGACGACTGATTATTTTTTTTGTTCAGTGTGAGGACTGTGCAGTTTGTCTAATATGTCAAGAAACTGACGGTTTTCAAAGAATATAATCTGCGTCGTCAGGGTCAAACAATTCTGTTTTACGGCCAATGACCCCCCATCACAGTCAGGACTAATAATAATAAAATAATACGAATAATACAAGATTACTCCAAGTGTGAATGAAACAAAACACAACTCTAGGTCTGTTTTTGATGAGGTAACAACATTATAACGTGACTTAAAGCTCTCAAGAGTCAATTCCTTTAAAATATAATAATTTTTTACAGTTTACAAGTTAGTTTTACAGTGTAGACTCTAGGTGATTAATTTTCAAGGCGTGTTTTTAATTTCATGGCGTAGCACACTCTTATATTGTTAGGGATGTATTCAAAGCATTTTAATTGCCCAATCAAAATGATAATACACTGCTAATTAAAGTAAATGACAGTAATACCCCATGTGCCATTTTATCATTGGGGTGATTTAATTGGTCTATTACCCAACAACCCCTGGTCTAAATTAAAAAAATTACGCGAACTGCAAATCTTAAAGTGGTTTAATGGCGTTTCCAGGGTGACGGCGTGCTGTGATCTGATTGGACGAGAGCAGGAGGTAAATGTCTATCTAATCACAGTGTCCTTTACCTACATTCATTTAGAAAATCGTCCGAGAAACGGTTTTAACATTTGATAGATTATTTCTGCAAAATTTAATAACAAGAAATAACTGCTCTCTGTAGGGAAACAAATCTCACAAATGTATAAAATAATCTGATATGAAACACCCTTTAATTTATCTGTTGTTTATTAATGGTGCTGTACTTGATTTACCATCTTAAAAACATAAAAAGCATCCTAATTATTCACGATAATGAGTTTATAATCGCTTTTCACAGCTATCAAAGACCTCAGTCACAGTAAAGATCACAACAACTAGCATTCTAAGGTGCAATTCCTGTTTATCCCATATGAAAATGCGTTATAATTAGATGCAAATAGCACACGGCAGACTTATTTTGGCCTAGAGAGATGCTTATATCTGCACTGGGGCAGGACAAAGTTCAGGTACAGGACCTTTAAATAGGGTACTTACTTAATTTTAGATCTCCTGTTTAAAGTGCTAAAAATATTGGAGTCTTTATGTAGTCTTTATGCCTTTAAGATGCTAAATACTGTACCAGAATTGTTTGTGAATGTGTGATATCAAACAAAAGATCACTTTCAAACAACTAAAATCAAAATTTCAAGAACAAATACACAGGATCTGAGACTTATTGAGTTATTGTTTTTTAAATCAGTCTACAAAAGGACGCATCGATCTTTTGTCTGTGTCTTCACTTTAAGGAGGATGGTTCCAGGGGCTCATATATTATGGTATTTGTTAATTATTTATGGAAGACTGCATTATGTTTCTTAAATCTTGTTGTCAGAAATAAATAGAAGTCCTATGTTCTGCTTAGAAGGCCAAAGTATGTTTAATCCTGTACTATTTTATTTACACCCATTTTTTGTTTGTTTGATTTTATTGTGGATGTCTTTGTCCCCTTTTTTCTGTGTAAAAAAAACAAAAAAATCTCCAAAAACTAACACAAAGTTACCTACATGTCAAGTTACACCTCCGGATATCAGGTCTTCTCATTGTAGCAGTAACAGTCTTGAGTCTTGAATCTTGATCTCTCTTTCTCAGCAGCAGGGGTGTTGGAAAACTGGATCCAAAATGCAACAAATCCATCTTGATGCATTTCAGCTGAGTTAAAGGTGCACTATGTAACTTTTCTACATGCCATCTGCTTGTTTCCATGACGATGTTATTGCTTTGCTGGCTGTGGATATTCAACAATATGACATTATACACTATCTTATAAATAATAAATTGCAGTTGTTAATTTGTAAGAAAAACGATTGCATTTTTATTGTGGGTTGGGTCGACTCTCCACAGATCTGACCTGTAACTTAGCCTGATAGAGTCATCTGCTTGTCTCTATGGAGATACATGAACTGCGGCAAACCCTCCATGAGAAAAGTTACATAGAGCACCTTTAATTAGTTTAAAAAGTCCCATTTTACTCATTTGTTTTGTTTTGTGCATGCCAAGTGGTAAGAAAGATTTATGATATTAAAATATTTCTACAAAATTAATATTTAATTCAAAGTAATATTCTAAAATTATGACATTATAGTTTGAGAACTGTTGATTGCTTTGCTTTATTTCTCAAGATGTATTAGAATATGTGAATATGTATGACTGATTAATTTGGTTTTCACTGTTGTGATTTGATTCTTTAACCATTTCACTTAATTCTTCAGGCAATTAAAGCTAAAAACCAGGGATGTAACAATAACCAAAATATCGTGATATTGTATCGTCAAAAGTCTCACAATAATATCTTGGGCTGTCACAATATATCAAATTACAAGTTCCTTTGCTTATATGCATGGTTTTATAGTAGCAACAGCTTATGAACATGGGAAACTACATATCCCATGATTCATTTCAGTGCAGACAACGTGAAGAAATATGTTTTTGACTTGAATTCTTGGGATTATGATGGAAATAATTCACACCAAAATCTTGTTAAGGTATTTTAAAAGCAAAAAAGTATCCTATCTCCAAAATACCGCAATAAATATCATACCGAGAGATTTGGATATCGTTACATCCCGACTACAAACACATACATGCATACATGCACAATGAGGAAAGTGCCTTCCTATATAGTTATAGTTTAGGGGATTGAACCACCAAATTGATGTTTTTACACCGATACTAAAAACATACCGGTGTTGAGTTCAGAATTGCAGACGTCTATTATCTTCTTCTTGTTGTGAATTTGTTAAAGGTCCAATATTCACACAAAATCGCCTCTTGTGAGGTTTAAGTCGCATTATAATGTTGTTTCCTCATCAAAAACATACATGAAGTTCTGTGTTTCTGAATGTCAGGACGGGTCAGAGGTGCGCCCACGTAGACTGAAAGGACCTCAAAGTTCCACGCTCCACGGGGATAAACGCAGCAGTCGCCTGATAGCACTTTGCAGACGCCCTCCTCCGTGGGCTCAGGGTTCTCCCTCTCTCTCAAATCCAAGGTTAGTCCTGGTTTAGACCTGGTTCAGTCTTGGTTTAGACCTGGTTCAATCCTGGTTTAGGCCTGATTGAGACCTGCTTTATTCCTTGTTTAGAGTTGGTTTACTCCTGCTTTAGACTTGGTTTACTCCTGTTTTAGTCCTGGTTTAGTACTGGTTTAGACTTGGTTTAGTCCTGTTTTAGACTTGGTTTAGTCCTGTTTTAGTCCTGGTTTAGACTTGGTTTAGTACTGGTTTAGACTTGGTTTAGTACTGGTTTAGATTTGGTTTAGTGCTGTTTTAGTCCTATTTTCATTCTGGTTTTGTCCTGGTTTAGTCTTGGTTTAGTCCTGGTTTAGTCCTGGTTTAGTCCTGGTTTAGTCATCACATCAATGACGTCACAAATCGCGTACCCCACTTAAATAATCCCCACTACACACAGTCCAGGTCTGTTTGTGATGAGGAAACATTATAACAGAATAGTTTAAACAGTGTAATATTGGCCCTTTAAACCATGTGAAATGTGCCTGTGTCTTCTTTATAAGTTCGTATTTAAAGCACCTACTTCTGTTGGTTATGTAACTCAACATTAAGATGGTGTGCGGTGGCGGACTATCTCAGCCCTCCTACCTTTCCCAAAATGCAAAACAACCGAAAATCTCTGCAGTGCTACAGTCTGTTGCGGTAGGATTTAAGCTCTGAACGGCTAAAAGTAAGAAAAAAACAAGACAAAATTATTATTAAACTATAGATTTGACAGTTATTTTACAATATCGAGGACACACAAAAGTGCACAGGAGGCATTTGTTCAAAGAGGTTCCACATTTGGGTCAAAACAAACGACAAAAACAAGAAGCAGAAGTCCCTTCATCGATATTTCAAGACAAAACCAAAACAAAGACATGAATTAAACAGGAAATTTGTCTCTCAAAAAGTTTAATTTGGATTTACTCAAAAACTGTGGTTGTGTAAAGGACTCTTCAAAAGTCAGAAAATACAGTTTATGGCTACGAAAATGTAAATTGTTGTTTGGGAGTGCAGAAAATGTGATTAATAATTGTTTTAAACGTGCAATAAAGGTGGAACGTTTTGGTTGGGGGTCCGTCATCTGCTTGTTTATATGGATACACCATTGCTCTGTCTGGAATGTTCCACAGTATGACTTTAAAGAGCTCTACCTTACATTTATTCAATCGCAGGTGGTTTTATAGCTCAAAAAACCTTAAAAAACAGATCTTTTGATTGTGAGCAGGGCTTACCTCGCCACAGATCTGACCTGTAACTTGGCCTGGCTTGGTCTCCATGAAGATAAGAAAGGTTTAATGCCATACTGTGAAACATTCCAGACAAAGCAACAACATCTCCACAGAGAAAAGTGTTCGACGGACCCTGTAATGAGATTTTCACGTCATTTAATGCAATTTTGGTCATTTAAATATGTTCTTAAATTATCTTTTATAACTAATACTAGTCAAATTATTCTGTTAACTGTAGCATTTCCAGCACATACGGATTCTCACATTCATTATATTATTAATAGATACATTTTTGGCAACACACTTGATCTTGTCTCAGTGTTTTTCACAACTTGGAAAAAATAATTAATTGCGTATATTCATAGAGATCTTTTTTAAACATAAATCAAGTCTAGCTATAGATTGTCAGTGTGTCTAGCAGCAGGCTACAGAGACATTAAGTATTTCAACTAGAGCTGTGCAAATAATCTAATTTATTATTTTCTATTCATCTATGATCAGCTTGTTTTTGTTCCGTTTTAAATCCAGAGGTCCACAGCCGATCTTCTGTCAAACTTTAAAGGAAGAAATTTGACTATTTTTTGTGTGTTATATTATTAAAGGCATAGTCTATATGCAGGAAAGTAATACTGAAAGCCATTTTTGTGTTGTTTTTTTGTCAAATCAAATAAAAATCATGAACAATTGAACACGGAAAAAAGGTAATTTCCCACAGAACTAATTTCAAGTCAAGATGTAAGAGAGGAAGGGTAGGAAAACAAAGGACATCTGATGTAATGATCCCACATAAATAATAATTAAAGACTAGAAAGTGAAATATTTCCTGTAATGTTGACGACTAAATAGGCCAAATTAAACCATTTTTAAGTATGGATGGTTGCAAAACTACATAGGGACTATATATAGACTCCTTTTGTGACCACATTTTGAGTAATCCCAACTTAATTTTAATATTACAATGATTTTAACACTCACAGTTCCCTTCAATACTCCATTTGGTATATACTTTTGTACAGTGATGGAAACAGCAGAGATCCAAAACGTGTTCAGAGAGGCACCAAAAATAAATAAATATGTCAAAAAAAACAAAAACAAAACCAGAAAAGTTTTTCTTAAAGTCTCTTAAATGTCCCATGATTCCCGGTGAGCAGCAGCACCACATTCCCGTTGTCCAAATTTTAACCACCACCAAAAATAACGAAATTTAGTGAAGTTACGCTTTTGATCAGATTTCACAAACAAACATTTTTCAACACAATCGCACACAAGTCTACATCACAGGACTCAGAATATTATCATTTTTGGATGGCTAGTTGTTTTCCCAATTTGAAATTACAAAAAAATCCCCAAAAAGAAGTTAGTTGTGCCTTTTATTTGTGGGATAACTTGAAGATATTTGCTTTCAAAGGTGCGCTGCGTAACTTTTCAGGTTGTGGGGGTCCGCTTCCATGGCGATGCTATTGCTTTACCTGTAATGTTCCGCAATATGGTATTAAACTTATATAAGACGCATTTATTCCATTATGGGTGTTTTTATTGCTCAAAATAAAATCACCGCTTCACAGATCTCACCTGTAAATTGGCCTGGTGGTGTCTCCTGCTTGTTTCTATGGAGACTGAAAAGTTTAATGCCGTAACATCTCCATGGAGACAAGTAACCGGCGGTCCTTTACCAGAAAAGTTACACAGTGCACCTTTAAATTATGGCAAAACTCTCGGCCAGATTTCTTGCCAAGCAGAAATTGCTCCTATTACAGGCACTTGGTGTGATGGCCATTTCAGTATTTTTATATCGTATTTATGTGCATATAATTATTTATTAACACACCTGAGATCGACAAGGGGCGACAAAAAGGGGGCGGGACCAGCTTCCGAGGAGCCGCACTGATTGGACGATACTGGTTGTAGGTGTAGCCCTTTTAGACCCCTTGTTTAGTTAGAAACCTATGGCGAGACGAGCCAAAAGAGACGAACAGTAAGAAACCCACCACCACCACCATGTAATAGTAAGTGACTTTCGAAAGCCAGTGTGAATGACAGTAGCCATTTTGAAACCCCCGACTGAAAAAATAGTCTTGTACGTTGTTGTTAATAGCAGCCGCAGTTGTTGGATTCACCTCTAGGGGGAGCAGTGGCGCATGTTTCTGCTGTGTGGGGTAGCTCACCTTGCAGTAGAGATGTTAGTTAGTGTTTAGGTTAGTTATCTGCGCCTAACTTGGAGAGGCCCTGTCTGAATTCGTGAAGTTCATCGATCTTTCCGTCCAGGATGTCCATAAACTTCTTGAGCTCCCCCTTCATGTTTCCCTGTTTCTGTCGGCTCTCGTCGATGTCCAGACTCAGCACTCCTATCCGCCCCTCCAGCTCTTTGTTCTTTGACTCCGCAGCCTAAGAACACAAGAAAAGAAAAAAAAGAAAGTGTGAAAAGTGAATTAAATATATATATATATTGAATAGCTGGGTTTCAGATAAGACAAACTGTTTAATACAGATGGTGGGCAGCTAAAGTTTATACTGTTGACATGCAGGTTTCTGTGGTTACATAATGAGGGCCTAGTCAGTATTTGAAATGATCAGATTTAACATTTGTTGTGAAATATCCCAAAAGGTAAATTCACAAAGTACTGTAATGTAATCAATAGTGCTGTCAGGCGATTAAAAAAATTGAGAGATTAATTAATTATGATCTGTAATTAATTAATTTATTAATTTCTTTTTAATCTCACCTAAAAATTGCTGAGAAAAGCCTTCAACTTTAAGTATTTTCATTTAAATTCATTATTACTTTATTATTATTACATATAAACCATGAACACTCTAGAGCCACATCAGCTCGTTTGAAATTATAATGTGTTTAATGCTGATTTGCGCAAGTCTCACAGAAACGAAAATTAAAAACCGCATGGCTAATTTGCATAAACTAAGCGAGAAAAAAAAAAAAAGCTCTTGTGTCGCTGATGCGGTTCAGCTTCTGTGACTGAAGGACACGACTCAGTGGAATATGAGTGTTCTGACAGAGTGTTGAAGGTGAAGGTGAGTCTGTTCTGTGTTTGTGTCGTGATGTTTTCAGAGATCAGACATGTGCAGGTTTATCGCACATGCGGCGAGAACGAGAAAGAAAATCACAATTGTTTGCGGAAGCGATGTGTTATTGTCCCAACAACACATAAAAACAGATTTTATAATAAGGCAACTCACGTACAGAAACAGCAAAGTTAGAGATAAAAATTAGATTAACGCGATTAAAAAACATAACGCGCTAAATATGACTGTAATTAATTAATCGCAATTAAAGCGATAATTTGACACCCCTAGTAATCAATAAAAAAAACTGTCTCTTGCCCCTCATCTGAGATTATGACATCCTAGAAAAACACCAACAGTCCTAGTGAAGGAGGTATTCATGGTTATTTTTTTTTTTTGGTACACTATTGTTTTCATGGTGCTAAAATTTCAAAAAGCTTGATCGCAATTTCAGGTGAAATCACAAGATTTTATTGGGAAGTAATATTAAATACAGATGGGGACTGTAAAATCTATGCCACACAAGAAAAAAGAGAAAAAGTAGGGTTTTTTTCTTATCTTGAAGCTTATTTGGTAAACTCTGCTAATAATCAATACTAGGGATGTAACAGTAACTGAAATCGTGATATCGTATCGTCAAAGTTCTCACAATAATATCGTGGACCATCACAATATATCGAATCACAAGTCTCTGCTTAAATTAAGAGCTATGGTGCAGCAACAGACAGAGGGAACTACATAGACCATGATCCTTTGCTCCATTTCAGTGTAGACTACATGAAGAAAGAACAGTTCTAAGCACTTTTAAGTCTTAGTTCTTTAAGTCTTGCCAAGGGATTTTAAGAGGAAAAAGTAGCATATTAACAGTTTTGTTAACCTCAAGAAAATATCGCAATAAATATCATACCATGAGGTTCATACCGTGATGATATCGTATCGTGAGACTTGCATATCATTACATCCCTAATCAATAATACAACTTTTACAAAAAAAACCTTAACACTATTTTGAATGGGAATAAACACTGAAAAAAAATCAAACGAATCATTTCTGAATAGATTTTAAAAGGTCCTGATCTAGATTAGAACTATAATGTAAGACCACATGCCAATATAAAAGAGGCTACTATATTTTTGTGTGAAAACAACATATTAGACAGTAGCAAAATAATGTTGCAAATTCCTTTTAAATCAAAATACAAAAGTTTTTCTTGGCACAATGAGCTTGTGAATAAAACTTTGTTATGTTAAAGTTTGTTCTCTATAAAGGAAATATTATTTGAAGGCGATACAGTTTGTGAGTCATCGCTGTATTGTTGTAAATTTCACAGCTTCTAGACTGTTTCATGGTTATTTTATGGTTTGGGCTGTTGCTTCTTCGTAATGAACAAATTGCATTCAACAGTTGAGATGTGTTCTAATTTTAGCGTTACAATCATAAATATAAAGGTCATGAGTAATTTTCTCCACAGTGGTCTTCTTATTGAGGTGAGTTTTAATCATGCATTTGAGCTGGTTTTGCATAATTCATATCATTGACACTTTCTCTGCAGGAGACCGCCGCCCGCTGCTTTCTCCGATCGATGTAACCTTTTTCACAAACGCTTTTCATGGGATTATTTGATGTTTAAAGTGAGAATGGGATCTTTTCAACCCCCACAGAAAATACTTAGCTTTCATAAACCAGAAAAAAAACAACAACAACAACAAAACACTGTGCAGCTTTGGGCTAGAAAGGTACAATTCCTACTCTGGCAAATCAGGACTAAACCAGGTAGTATTTCAGTATTAAACTAGGACATAAGTACAAACTAACCAGGACTTACACATAATAGAACATGCGCAGGAACCTAAATAAAAGTAAAAAAGTTAAAAGGTATTTCACTGCTCTTGATTTTTACTGTTAAAAATGTAAAAAAACACAACTCGTTAATTTTAAACAGTGTAGTAGAGGTGGGATGAGACACGATTTCCATGAAACGAGAAAAGACACATGGCTGGGTCCACGAGAATGAGCTCAGTAATAATAATCATAATTTCTTAAAATAAACTGTACAGTACAATTTTGGCTTCACCATTTTTGATTTAATGTATTTAATATTTTTCAGTCATGCAGGTGGATTTAAGCTTCTTACGAAATGTGACTCACTTAAGCCCCGTTTTGTCAAATCTAAAACTAAATACACAGGAAAAAAAATCTCACAGGAGCATTTTCCTTATGTGTGCACAATTTTGTGGCAATTTTGTCTTAAGAGATCTGGAGGTATGAGATCTTGCCCCATGTCTAGAGTGAGCAGTGGTCCAAAGTTATTCCTCACTTATCTGATTATTCATTGCGATGACTTTAGAAGCGCTTTTCACAACTTTCAGAGGCTAGTGTGGAGTTTTGCTGGTAAAGTCAACATCAATTAACATGACTGAAGAACAAACCTGGAGAAGCAGATTGGATGAGCTGTGAAACATATTTGATCCAAAAAACTTCAATGTCCATTTGACAGAATTAAATTTCTAACTTTTGCCATCCACTAACATGCTAACACGCACTTCATGATTCTCACACAATAAAATGCTTTCTAATTTGATACAGCAGACTTTTTTTCTTTTTTTTACCTCACGAGCTGCTTAAATATTCTGTATTCTGTTCAATATATCTGTACTGGGGCAAGTATTGCTCAAATACACGGAAATCTCTCGCCTATAAAGCCCCATTAAGAGCCTAATCAATTAAAGTACCATTACAGTGTGTGACATAATTTCTATGATTTTTCTATCTTCTATCTTTCTTTAGACATGGGCAGCAGACAGATGCAACAGACAGAAAATAGAGGTACATAGAGGTAATGCCATAACTGTTACCTAGCAACCATACTGTAAACCACTATTTACAAATACATTTACCACAGGTACAATCCACCAAACAAACTAATTATTAGAAAAAGAAAACCTAAAATTATCAGTTGTCTTTAGTAAATACAAGTTAAGATGAAGGTCCATGATTTTACAGGACAATCAGCTTTATAAATTAAATGAAATCTAATTTACAAATACACATCGAATCATTTATTAAAGCACCTGAATACTGTGTGAGGTTTATCAGAATGTGCATCCACAAAATTCTGCAATGATGTTCTTAAAATAATCCAAATAATATGAAGATATCTGTTCCCTCCTCTCCGTCTCCCTCGCAGGATTAGTTGCCATGGCGCGTAGTTGCCATAGTTTTAGTGAGACACGTTGGCGACAGAAGTGACAGGTTAAAGCTTTAGTCTGCAGAGGAGGCTTTAAACATGAGCGAGCTAAAAGAGGCTCCAGCTGACTCCTGAACCTGACCCATGTGGTGCAAGTAAAAATAGAATGACCACAACACAACACACACACACACACATACAGATAGATACAGCGACACACACACTACACACACAGACAGAGCGACACACACACCACACACACACTATAGCATACACAGCGACAGACACACACACACACACACACACACACACACACACACACACACACACACACTACACACAGACACACAGAGACCGAAAGACAAAGTGACACACACATTGTAGCATACACACACTCTACACCAGGGGTGTCCAAACTTTTTTCACAAGGGCCACATTTCTAAACACAGACGAAGCAGAGGGCCGATCGAGGGCCATAGACTGGTGCTCAATATAGAGAAAAATTGAAATATGTGCATGTTTAACAAGTTAGAAAGAGCCATCAGTCTTTATTCAGGCTAAGATCCTTAAAACCTAACCACACTAATTATTAAATATTTGCTTTATCAACATAGATTTTCAAAAAAACTTGCAGTAAAAAGCTCATTTTTAATTGATGCAAGATAATTTGGGCCAATTCACCTGGAAGCCTGAGGGCCAAAAAAATTTGTCTGAGGGCCGCATTTGGCCCCGGGCCATAGTTTGGACATGCCTGCTCTACACACACAGGCACAGTGACACACACACTAAACCTACAAACAGACAGATACACACACACTATAGCATACACAGTAGCACACACACTACACACACACAGCACACACACACCCCCCCCCCCCCCACACACACACACACACACTATAGCATACACAGCGACACACACACACAGACACACCCCAGCACACAAAGTGACACACACACACGCACACACACACACACAGATACAGACACAATACAGCATACAGAGCGACACATACACTACACACACGCAATAGCATACACAACGACACACACTACACACACACACACACACACAGAGTGACACAGCGACACACATATTACACACACACTATAGCATACAGAGCAACACACACACTACATACACTATAGCATACACACACACACACAGACCGACACA